GGGTATGTAGGGGTGGACTGCCTTTTTATTTGATTACCCTTTTCTCATGTTTTTCTTAGTTAGGGAGATAAGACATTGTCATTTGGTTTTATTCTTTTCATAAATAAGTTTTGTACATCCTTTAGATACGGTCCCTTTTGTTTGTTGTTTTGGGGTCCACCCCGAAGCTATAGTTCGCTCCTTTCCTTTGTTAGAATTCAATCACTGTGAAAAAAAATCACCATCAAAATTGTACTGGTTGTGTGATGTGCTGCTTGGGGTCAGACAGGGGTGGATCACCCTTATATTATGGTCTGGCCACCCTTAGAAAGGCCATAACACTAAAATGAAAATTAAAACTAGACTTATAACTGGCTGGTGTCCTTGGGTCTGAACTGTGGGCTCCTCTTTCCAGGTGTTCGTACTGCCTGAGTGGGACCAAGATGTGCTGTCTTGCCTCTTTTGGGTTTTCTGCATGTTTCTGGCTCAACATGCAAGTATCCACTTCTTGACGTTCGCTGTTGGTTGCAGCCACTTGAGGTTTTTGGGCTCATTTGGGTTCTCAACACTGGGGACTTTGATGGGAGTGAAAGCATCCTCACAACATAAATCACCACACTACCTGCTTTTGTTTCAGATTTTTTCTTTATCCTTGTTAACATGTTTGGGTACTGGGTTTACCTGTAATGCATTTTGTGCTCCAAAAGCTGTTAGCATGACCTTTTTTATCATTAGATTGTGCCACACCAGCATCTGAGAGAAAAGCTTTGAGTTTGATTTTGTGTTTGTGTTTTGCAGGCACTCAGGAGAATAAGTCATGATGTTTCTTGTGTTTGTCATGTTAGTATCTCAGTGCTTGTCAATCACCAGTCAACAGTGTCACCACTGTGAACAACATCCTTCGACTGTTCGAGCCAAAACCTTGGAGAAGTCCCTGCAGCCGCTTCAAAACTCATCACTGAGCTCGATCTCTCTTTTAACACGCTGGAGACAACAATGAAAGATGACTTTCTTTCATATTGCTCTGTGTTAAAGGCCTGCACACACCACAAACAGGGACACGTGGCGTTTGGGTTGCCCGTTCCAGCAATTCGCTACACAGAAGATAATAGCATTATGCAACTGGCCCTTTGATCAAATGATGAGAGCTGATAGTCAAATAGTGCGCCCTGACAGCACTGACATTTCCACATGTTGTAACGAGTAGGGACAGACCACGTTTAGTGTGTCGAGAGCATAGAGCCGCTGTATCTGTGCGCACCACCATCTTGCATTTTTTGCATGTTTGGATGTGCACCAATGGTGTGCGTCCAGTGGTGTCAGCTGGTGAACCAGCTGGTCATTCAAAAACCACCTTTATGCCCCTCACCATTAATGGAGGTGCCATTTGAGCGCATTGGCATGGACCTCATTTTATCGATGAGAAAAAGAAAGTCTTTAGTTCAGCTGTTGTTAACTGATCTTGACTTTGTTGATTAAACGTTGCAAACCTGCCTTCAGTGTGTCCTGTACATGAGGCCATTTAGTACACCACAGCACGGTGAGTTTTTTGAGCTGATGAAGTTCAGCCAAAACAGGAAACATGCAGCAGGAGACAGTAACTTGTTAAAATGTTATAAAAGGTACAATTAAAGATTTTCACCCTACAGGGTTGTCAATGATCCAAGGATAAATGTCTAATTTGGTCAAAAGTTTTATAAGCCATTTCTGGAGAGACTGCAGTGGAAATGTTGTCACTTTTGGACTTTGCTACCTGCAGCTAAACATTTGCAGCTAAATCATTTATTTAAAAGCAGAAGCTGCAACTGATCGAGGGAATATTTGTCTGAAAACTTAAACTGAACTCCAAGGGTACCATTGCTCCAGCTTACCATCTTTACCTGAGTGAATCAGTTTGTTGAACAATCTAAATGATTCAGAAACTTCTGTGACATCAACTTAACTAAGGCTCATTACAAATTTCACAAAACACTGCTGAATACTTTTAATATTTTTTTATTAGTTATTTTTGTTTTGTTGTTATTTTGATTTTAATAAAACAAAATAACATAAAGAATCAAATTGTTTCTTTGTTTTTTTAATTTAATTTATTTTACAAATAAATTAATAATAATATTAATAATAATAACAACAAATTAGTGATGTCAGCGTAAACGTCATTAGTAAAATGACGTTAACGCTGACAGCACTAATTTGTTGTTCCCAGAGAGCAAGCCAAACACTGGTCTAGTAAAGGACGATCTCTAGTAGTGGTGCACTACTAGTAGATTTCCGAATCTGATGTCTTTGTTTTTACATTCATCAGGTCCCAATCAACCCAAATGGCACAGAGAAATTAAAAATGCATGCCATGAAAGAGTTCAGGTCTTAGGATGTTAAAAATGTCCCTGCTGATGAGACCAGTGAATGTGGGGCGACGGTGGCAAGAAAAAACTCCCTCCTGGAGGAAGAAATCTTGGGAGGACCAGGCTCTCTGGGAGGACCCTTCCTCCTGAGGGCAATACTTACCTATACTTGTCCTCCAGTGTGCGATGGTGGGCTGGGACGACTGCTTTTCCTTCTCAGCATGATGATGACCTTAACTTCCTTCCTTCCTTCCATTTCCTGTTTCAGAACTGAGAATGAAGACAAAACTGGTTAACAAGGTAACAGGACATTTAAAAATTCTCTCACTTCAGGATGAGATGCTGTGTCTTCTTACGTTTCTCTTGTAAAACAGCATGTAGGCCGAGTGCTGCTGTTCCTCACAAACTGCAGATCCAGTTGTGTGGAGCACCTGTGCGTCATTATAGGTGAGCCAGCGATCTGATGTAGAGTGCTGACTCTCCTCAGGATGGACAGAACTACAGATGTAGTGTCCTGAAATCACATTAAGACAAATGAATCCAACTTCTGGAAGTCAACTGATTCAAGCAAACAGTGATTTTGACTTAGTGCTTCTTAGAACATCAAAAGCTTTTGTGTGTGAGTCCTTCACTGAAAAGTAGCAAGTTTTCATTTTCTGTTTGTCACAAGTCTGTTGTTTTACCTGACTCTGTGCCTCCATAATGACTGATGATGCTGACAAGACTATAACAGCCACCACCCTGAGAAGGAACAAATCCAAAGAGTGTTAGTTTCATAAAGTCTCACATCAGTGCCATAATTAAGCTGATTTGCTGAGGCTACGTCCACACTAATGCGTTTTCGTTTGAAAACACATCGTTTTCTCTCCGCTTTGACCTCCCGTCCACACTGAGACGGCGTTTTCCTCAAGGAAAAACACAGCATCTTGAAAACGCTCTCGAAAACGCATACATTTCAAAACGGAGTTGTCCCGTCGCAGTGTGGACACTCGAAAACGCAGACTTTCTAAAACGATGACGCATTTTAGTCATGTGATGCAGTCATGTGAGCAATTAAACAAAGATAGCCGAGTGCATTATACAGCAGTTGTTTTGATTGCTCTCAACTTTGACAGCCCTAAAAAAGATTAATATCAGTTTGTACATGCTCCGGATAGCTTTTCTTCAAATTCTGTAATTCTCACTCACTTTTGCGCATGCGCAGGACTGGAACGTAAGCGTTTTCGGCCGTTTCAATGCAGACGCACAACTATTTGAAAATGACTGAAAACGCTAGTGTGGACACGGAGTTTTCAAATCTATCCGGGCTAGTGTGGACGTAGCCTGAGACGTTCTGCAGTCTGTTTTTACCTGATTGGATGGCACCACCAAGTCCCTCTGCAGCCTGACGGGGTCATCCACCTTCTTAATCTTGTAGGTTTGTGTAAAGCCAAACCTCTTCAGATGCAAGATCAGAACTCTGGCAGAAAAGAAAAAAAACACAAACAAGGTAGAAAATAAGAAGAATGAGTGTCAAACACAAACAGAAGATGGGAGAAAACGACTGCTCAAGTATTGTCTCGAAAAACTCTGATATTTGATGCGCCACAGTTTGGAAACCTGGTCAGTCGATCAATTCTGATGTGACCTTACTCACCTTGGCAGTGTATCAAAAGACGACTTCAGTTCTGAGGCCGTCCCTCCACAATCACAGCGAAATTCTATTTCTTGTTCCTGAACAACAGCACAGAGAAAACAGGCTTTATGGTAGAAAGAAATCTCAACATATGCACACACACATACACACAAACACTAACAAAAAAGGTGTGTTAAGATCGCTGATACGACAACTCTATTGGAATTTGTGATCTTACCTTCAAGTATGTCTCTAACATGTTTATAATAGACCCCTCTGGAACAAGGTCAAGAGACAAGCTGGTGAAGTCCTCGTGCTGTGATGATTGGTGACCACAGCTACACATTTCAGGAGTAACGTAGTTAAAGTAAAGATCAGGTAGGTGGAAAAGAGGTATATGAAAATATTGCAACCAGCTCTGCGTTTCTGAAAGACAGGCTTACCTCTTGCATGTCCTCATGTTTTCCATTTTAAAAATGTGATGCTCTTCTACTGGGCAGGTATAACTTTGGCCCAGGAGAGCTGCGTTCCTCTCCAGGTGAGGTGGAGCCTTTTGACCTCATCGAGGAACAATGTTAGGAATTCATGAGCGTCCTGAAAGAAAAGCAGAGAGATTTAAAACAGTACATCAAAATCAGAAGGTAAAGCAAAAAACGAAATGTCCAAATAGCTGACGCACTTTCTGTGCACTGCCGGTGTATTCAGGAGCTTGATTGCTGAATGCCTTCTTAAAAGCTCTTAGGTGGTGATCTTTAAGGCCATAATCTGTTGACTCATGACAGTCCCTGACATCAATAGCCTTCTGTAGAAAGGAAAGGGTAAACAGACATTTCTGCTGTTAGATCTCTTTGTTCTTCAGGTTTTTGAAGAAAGTAGAAGGTTGACGTAGCGCACCTTAAGAGCTGAGCTTCTGGATCTGTGCTCCACAAAACCCCCTGACGCCTGATGTCTCTTATGAACTCCTCAATGTTGAGGAGGCTCTGCAGGCAGGAGTTCATGTAGCAGGTGTTTCCGATGTTTGGAAACCTGACACACACGCGCAACGTTTACAGTATCAGTGTAAAATAATTCATTTTCTCCACTTTGACAAAGTGAGCTTTGGTCTTTGTGCACCACGTGTACTCACCCGAAGCAGTCTATAGTCCCAGTTTGACTTTCTATTTTTTTCCCACCGCATGCTACACTGCTCCAAAAAGGTAAAAACACAAACACAAAATTAGGAAAGATGTCAAGATTCTGAGCAGTGTATGTGCATGTATGCATGAGCTTTGAAGTTGAAACATTTTGGAGGACGTCCAAAAGTAGTAAAAAAGATGTAAATACACAAGGTGGAAGAAAAATGCCAATAAAAGGGAAATAAAACAGCTCCAACTAAACCACTGCTATAAATATCTCCAGCAGCATTAAAGAGCGGCGCATTTCTTTACCTCTGATGAGACGTAGAAGGAATTTCCTTCTCTGCCACGTTTTGTTTGTGTAATTTCTGTTTAGAAACAAGAAAACCAACATCAGTAATGGCATAAAACAAACATACCAAGGGAGTCTCTCCATGAAAAGTGTCCAGTTAGAAAATTTGGTATTATTTCATATTATTTATCACTTTAGTGAGCTGTCAGCTCATGAAGCAGATATATAGGAATATCTTTAAATAAAATAAAAACAATTTATTCATGCTTTAAATTGAGTTTTAAAGTTTGTCCTATGAAATACAAAATCCTTCATTTGGTTCTGATCAAAATTCAGTTTTTACAGTTTTTACCTCTGTCAGTGGCCCCAGGGTGGCTGTGGCTACAATGTAGCTTGCCATCACCAGTGTGTGAATGTGTGTGTGAATGGGTGGATGACTGGATATGTAAAGCGCTTTGGGGTCCTTAGGGACTAGTAAGCGCTATATAAATACAGGCCATTTACCATTTACAGAAATCATCCATGAAGCTTCATTAAAAGCTTCAAAAATGCTTATTTACCATAAAAAATATTTAGAGAAACATCCTGCAAGTCTCTTCAAACTTACCTTTCTGTGAAAAAAAAACGTTTAAACATCTTTGAACTTAATTTGAGGACATAGATGTGCTAAATTGCTCTTAATTCTTCGCATTTAACTGTGATGAGTAAATGCTTGATGACAGTGACTCTTTCCATAAAACATACCTTCCAGAATTTAAAAAGAAACCAGCGACACTTTTTTTGTGTCTTCACAGTGTTGCTCTCTGCCTCTGCATCGCTGTCAGTTTGCTGCAGAGGACGAACAAACATAAGTTTATTAAAAAAGTAAAGTCACTTTAAATTAACAAGTGCAATTTAAAGAGAATGTGCATTTCATATGTTTTGTGTAAAAGCAAACCGAGGAACAGCAGAGGTGTCTCCATTTTCTCTTCTTCTTTTGACCATTTTCAGCAACACAAGCATCCGGGATGCTGATGAGGACAAAAGTGTAAATGTTATTTTTCAAAGTGGAAATTTTTAACAAGGAGTACATGCTGGAGATTGCAGATAAAAATTAATAACTGTAATGGAACAAAATCATGTATTTTGTACATTTACACTCTACATTTTCAAACGCTAATCTCTGAATCAATATAAATTATAGACAAGACTAGAAGTAGTAAAAAAGATGTAAATACAAAACACCAATAAAAGGGAAATAAAAAGCTCCAACTAAACCACTGCTATAAATATCTCCAGCAGCATTAAAGAGTGGCGCATTTCTTTACCTCTGATGAGACGTAGAAGGAATTTCCTTCTCTGCCACGTTTTGTTTGTGTGATTTCTGTTTAGAAACAAGAAAACCAACATCAGTAATGGCATAAAACAAAGTATATGGTAAGAAAATACAATATCCTTCATTTGGATTCAAAATTCAGTTTTTACAGAAATCATCCAAGAAGCTTCCTTAAAAGTTTCAAAAATGCTTGTTTACCATAAGAAAATATTCAGAGAAATGTGCTGCGAGTCTCTTCAAACTTACCTTTCTGTGAAAAAGAAGTTTAAACATCTTTGGACTTGATGTGATCGCAGCCAAAATCTCCTCAGCTTTGCAAAAGTTCAACTGAAAACAAGCAGTCAAAGGTTGTATATTTATAAACTTTCAGCATAGAACGTTCATACCCTGAACAGCAAACATCAGCATTATGATGTATGGGGCTCATTTGCATATTTTGGAATGTATGCTCATTTGAACTGTATGGCACTCGTCTCCAAGCAACTGCTACAAAAACAGGTCAAGTCAAGTGGCTTTTATTGTCATTTTAACCACGTGCAGAGGTACTGTACAGAGTGAAATGAGACGCGTTCCTCCGAGACCCTGGTGCTATATATGACATATACGGACAAACCCAGGACTACATAAAGTGCAGTGTGCATAAATTGCAAAAATAAACAAGACAAAACAGTGCAAAACTAGACAGAACAGGACGATACAGACACAAGACAATGGAAATGTGCAAAATGCTGAGTATTGTGCAAAAGTAACTTGGTGTCTGTATGTATGTGTATGAGTGTGAGATACTGCAGATAAGTGCTTGGTAGTGACATGTGTGAAGGTGTGCGTGTGCCAGTGCAGTCACTGAGTGTTCAGGGGTCTGACGGCTTGTGGGAAGAAACTTTTCCGTAGTTTGGTAGTGAGGGCCCGGATGTTCTGGGACCTCTTTCCAGAAGGCAGCAGGGTGAAGAGTGTGTTTGAAGGCTGTGTGGGGTCCTCCAGCAAGCGGGTGTTATAAGGAGGGGAGAGGGACTCCAATGATCTTCTCAGCTGCTCTCACAATCCGTTGTAGGGTACTGCGATCTAATACGCTGCAGTTACCATACCAGACAGTGATGCAGCTACTTAGGATGCTCTTGTTAGTCCCACTGTAAAAGGTGGTGAGAATGGATGGTGGGAGATGGGCTTTCCTCAGCTTCTGCTTGAAGTAGAGACGCTGCTGGGCCTTCTTGGTTATGGAGCTGGTGTTGAGGGAGCAGGAGAGGTTCTCCGCCAGGTGGACACCAAGAAATCTGGTGCTCTTGACGACCTCCACAGAGGATCCATTCATGTTAAGTGGGCAGTGATCCCACTGTGCTCTCCTGAAGTCAACAATCTCTTTTGTTTTGTCCACGTTCAGAGACAGGTTGTTGACTCTACACCTCTACAGATGGCCCGCAGTGCAACCCTTCAGCTTCCTAGTAGATCACCTATATACAAATTTAAAGACCTAGGAGACTTACTTCTCGTCACAGAGTTGTAGCATTCACAAGATTTTCAGAAAACTTGACCAACTTGAGGTCAAGGTCACTGATATTCAAACTGACCCCAGAACTTTAGTAGATGCACCAATGGCATCAATTCAAAATCCTGCCCCTCGTTCTCGACCAAGCTGAGTATACAATTATGAAACAATCATTTTCCATTTTTATTTCACTATCTGTAACTAAGACAAATAAACAGTATTTGGGACACAAGTCACTATTAAAGTGGTTAGTGAGACTCCACATCTGATAACAGTATAACACACTGCTTATTTATGTAAAATTGTCATCAATAAATGTGTTCAAAACAGAAGCTACACTGGCTTTAAAAGTTTTTGTTAACTCTGACTACCTGTCTGCTCTTACCTGTTTCTTTTGCTCTCTGCTGTCTTCATCCTCCATCCAACTCTACAGCTATTGTTAGGGATGACATGATGAAACTGAAGGGTGTCTGGGCACCGAAAAAAGAAAAGAAGAGAGATTGGATTAGGCTGCAGCTGGCGTGCCATTCTCTCACTTCAGGATGAGATGCTGTGTCTTCTTACGTTTCTCTTGTAAAACAGGATGTAGGCTGAGTGCTGCTGTTCCTCACAAGCTGCAGATCCAGTTGTGTGCAGCACCTGTGCGTCATTATAGGCGAGCCAAGGATCTGATGTAGAGTGTGGACTCTCCTCAGGATGAACAGAATTACAGATGCAGCAGCTGTTTCCGATGTATGGAAACCTGACACACAAACAAAAGTTTACAGTATCAGTGTAAAATAATTCATTTTGTCCAGGTTGAGAAGGTGAGCTTTGGTCCTTGTGCACCACGTGTACTCACCTGAAGCCGTCTGTAGTCTGAATTTTATTTTCCATTATTTATCCACCGCCCAAATGTTTCACTACGCTACTGCAAAAAGGTAAAAACACAAACACACAATTAGACACTGAGCACTGGATGTGCATGTATGCATGAGCTTTGAAGTTTAAACTTTTTTTTTTCATCAACAATTTTTATTTATTTCATTTTAAACTTTAATAACAGAGCTTAAGGATAACTACATAAATAAATAGTTTAAAAAACAAACAAACAAAAACAAAACAACAACAAAACACAACAACAACAAAAAACAAAACAAATCCACCAATCCCGAAGTGCCGAACAGCTCCATAAGATATGTAAAATCAAAGCATTTTGACCATCACATCTCCAACATTCGTCCGTAGAGGCCAGGTTCCATTTATACAATTGTTGCGGTGTTCGATGCCACCTATGGATTGTCTTAAGTTGAATAAATCTACTGCCTGTTTCTTTATACATAGTATTAACATTTTGAAAACATGAATCCCATTCAACTGAAGATATGTCCAATGCCATGTCCTGGGCCCAATAGCCCTTAACTTTAAGGAGAGGGTCAGCTGACCGTTCTTGCAATAAGTGATAAATCTTAGAGGTAATGCCTTTACCCAAGGGTGATCTTGAGAGCAGGACTTCCATAGGGCTGCCCACAGGACAACTCAAAGGGGTTCCCAGCCACTTCGATAATGAACTACAGTATGGTGTTTTGTTGCTCGCTGTTTCTGTTCTTTTCTTGGATTTTGGGTTCCCCAAAACATTTAGCTTGTATTTCCATTATTAATCTATACTATTTTCTATTCATATGCTGTCTTAATTCTTTTACACACATTCATATTCTGCACATTCAGACACGAATTTCTTCAGTCTGTGCAATATAATTATAAATTAGTTAAATTAAACATCCTCAAAAGTTGATTCTGTTCATCTGGACATAGCGTTTTCAGTGGGAGAAACGTGACTTCTTCAGTCTCAGCTGACTGCAGGTTTCCCCAATCTTATAAACGTCTTATAAACAGTACATTTGCATAATGACTGAAACTAGCACCACCGAAGGAACAATGGGCTGGGAGGTCAGTTTCTTGATCATTAATATGCAAATTGTCATAACCATTGATCAACAACCACTGATCAAAGTTCAATGATCAAAGACCATGAGTACCATTCACAGAGAGTTGGGGAATGGCTGCAATCACAGCATTGTAAGACGGAGAAAGATGTACCCTCCTCGATTCAGAGATGGTCTTTCACTAGTGTTTTGGGGTTTAAAATAAAAAGAGACGTCTTTAGAGTGTAGCTTACAAAATAAACGCATTTGTAGGTTATTGGAAAAGTATTATTTGAAAAGTTACAGTATTTAAATCCCATAATAAAGGGAATATTAATCTGCATATAAATAAAACGCTCGTGTCTCTGGTAAGCTACTACACAACTCCCAACGATCTTACGTATCCCCGACGGCACTTTTTACGTGTTGCGTCACGGCTGTGGGCGTGACTATCCACGTGAGCCAGTGATCTCGGCTGGTCCGCTGACAACAAACATGCGTCGTTGGCAGCCCGAGGGGATACTCTACAGCAGAGTAGCGGCGGGGGCAGTTAACCAGCTCTAAGGACACTCTCACGCTAGTAGCGACCGCTGTCCCGTTCAAAGTTTTGGGGCTTTCTGTTCGGAGAAACAATCAAACGTTTTAGCGACGCTGTGTTTGACGGTGTCCGGTTTCCTCACACTGAGGGATTGCAATGCCCTCTGACTTTATCTCCCTTTTCAGCGGGGACCTCGACCTGAATTCACCCAGATCCTTGTACTCTAAAGGTAAACATTCTTTATTCACTTTCTCTCTCGCTTGTCACTCTCATTTGCCACTTTTCGGAGTTTACATGTGCGACTGACCGCCTGCCGCGTTTGGTCTAAGGGTTTAAACAAGTGTGTGCGTGGGTGTGTTTTTTGGAGGTTTTTTTGTGCGGTGGCTGAACTCCCTCCTTCACTCTCATTCATCTGTAAACCATCTCTAAAACGCCTGCTCAAAATAACGTGAGGTACTGAATCTCTTATAGATAATTTATAGATATTTCCTGTGTGTACTGTGTCGTGGGATTGGACCTTGAAGCAACGTGGAATGTTTTTTCAATTATTATTATCTTTTCTCAAAACTAAAGCCCTGGGCAGCTGCATGCACACCGGTCAGACCAGTTTACCAATTCCCTGGCAGCTGAAAAACGGTGATATCTATGTTCTGGGGGTTGTTTGAATAGGCCATCAGTGACCCCCGCCCCCCGAAGCACTACATATACAGGGCACTGCCCCCAAAGCAACGCTGTAATGGGATCATGGACATGAACTGTGAGAGCCTCATGCAAGCTTTTACATAGCATAGCCTAACTTAAATGAACTTAACTAGGTGTAAATTTAGAAAAACACAAAACAAAAACAGCGTCATTTTGTAGTACCCTGTTAATTACATGAATGAGTTTATCCATACAATAGGACACACATGTGGGAGCATGCTGCTTTGCATGATACTAGTGAGAAAAGTGGAAAAAATAAGTCTCCCAAAACTGTCATATGTAGAAATATCTTTTGGAAGCGATTTCATCCAACAGGGGGTGTGCAAAGCTAATATCAGTTTTTAAGGTTAAGAATAGTATGCTACCATTTTCTCATAGCAGTGGGTTTCAGCAAACGAATTAAGTGGGTGGCTTCATTCATGCTCGTGCGGAAACTTTGCATCATTAAGAATCTTAATTGGAAATCTGTTGCCAGTTTTAACCTGAAAGTGTGAGTCGATAATGGGAAAATAATATAATTAGTAATTTAATTTATGGGTCTTTGTAAAACACAAAACCAAAATGCCATAATTCTGTAAATCAACAACTGATTTTCCTGGCAAACGCTGCTTTTACAATGATCTTAGACTGAAAAACATGTTCTTAAATAAACATGAAGGTCGTGGTGCAGAATTCAACGCTCAACTTTACTGCGGCTGATCATGAAGAGAAACGATCATGACTCAAGATAACATGCAATAATGACACATTGCCTGAAAGTATATTTATCATCTTTCTGTAGAAACGTTTTGCAATTTGCAATAAGTTGGAGAGAAAAAGTTGAAAAGTTGAAACATTTAGGTTGTTTTACAATGTCGCACTTCCATTGCAACCTCTGTCCAGAATTGTGAAATGCTTCCTCTTGTTATTTCAAATTGTCATGCTGTGGTTTTGGTTTGTGTCAAACTTTGAAACTATTACCCAAATGGATGCTCACAAATTGTGTTATATCATTTCGCTGGCTCAATCACTGGAAATGTGCAGCAATGAAGACCTTCTCTGCCTTTTCTCCCTGCCCTAGCATATTTACCAGAATATTAACATCTTTTTCATTAGGTGCTTTCCTAGATTCAGGAGTCCATTAATGTAGTAAACAAGTTTAACCCAGTATTGCTTTTATTTTACCAAATATGTGTTGCACTGGCTGCTCATATTAAACAGTACTAAAGTTTAACATGAAGGCCACCACATGGTCAAGTAATTGCTGTGAACCAATAACCCACATAGCAAGGAGGTCTGGCCTTGATCTTGTACCAAGCCGGTACTGCTGGCTGACTTCTGGCATGATATGACGTATGTCATCCAGATATGGGCCAGGCCTGGCATAGGTGGTACTGCCTATGTGATGGTATGCCACATCCGGCTCGATTGTGGTTTGGTTTATGTGGCCCAGGCCCATAGAAAACAGGTCTGGCCTGGATCTGGCATCAAGCTGGCACTTCTGACTGATTGGTGTCATGGCAGGGTGTATGTCAACCAGATGTGGGCCAGGTCTGGCAATGATGGCACTATTTATGTTCCTATTTTCCTATTTTAGTTAAAAGACCCAAATGCCATGTTGCAATACTATACTGCTATGGTAGCCAACATTTCAAATGCAGGTTTGACAGGTTATTGAGTGTACACTTTATCCAAAACCTAGTGACGGTTTACTCATGTTTACCACCTACTGAGCGAAAGGTTAGTGGTTCAATCCCTGGCTCCTCCAGTCTGCATGTCAAGAGTGTGAATGTAGTTAGGAAGCACTGAGTTTAGAGAAAGTGTGTAAATGTGGCATGTTGTATAAAGCATTTTGAGTAATCCAGGACATGAGAAAAGCACTATGTAAGAATCAGTTCATTCACTGTCTGAACAGAGTTATGTTACTTTTGCTCTGTTTTGCATGTTCTGGTACATGTTGTTATTATTTGGCTTGATTAAGGTTCGCATTCGGCTGACATCTGGGGCCATAGCTGAAACTGTTATGGGCCAGCAGTGAGTCTACAACTGGCCCGTGGCTGCACACAACTTACACATGGCCCACATACCGCAAAGAATGACGGCCCTTTGGTGGCCCAGATCAGGTTTGCCAGAGGTAGTCCACACATGGGCCAGCACAGGACCACCAGTGTGTCTGCAACTGGCCTTAGGCTGGCCCATGTGTGGGCCACCTCTGGCAAACCAGATCTGGGCCACCAAAGTCCCATCATTCTTTGCGGTACGTGGACCATGTGTAAGCACATTGTGTGGGCCAGATCCGGGACATACCAATTTCGCTATGTGGCAAAGTTCAAACTGCTCTAAATACTAATTTTTAAACAATTTCTTCTGTGACATAAGAGAAAAGTGATAATAAATATAGTAAAAATATTACAGTAAAAGCAACTTTACTTCAATGCTTTTGTAAGCAGCATTGATCATTCCCAGTAATGCACAAGGATAATAAGATAACAATTTGTTTTTGCTGTCAATTATATAATTTAACTTTTTACTCCTAACTCTAGACCGTGAACTCTTATGCACCACATAAATCAGCTAAAACTCCTTTGAGATTAAGGCCAGTGGTAACTTGTTTTTAAACCTGTTAATCGCACAATTGTGTGTCGACACCATGGTCTGTTTAGTGGAGAAGCTGGGTTTCACTGTGTTGGGTATGGTCCTGATAAGGCCCACTCTTCCACAGTTGATTTTTTTTTTGGAAAGAAAGCCCCAGTTATCTTTTAACTCCTTCACATCAGCTTAAGTCGTACCCCAGCCCAGAAATAAAATATACTGTCGATCAGAATTTTTTGCTGTTTTTT